ATGAGTTCAGAAAGCAAGAAAATAAAACCAAAGACTGATTTTGAACTCGTTCTAAATTATTCTAATTCTTGCATTTGGAAAAATGACTCCGGTGCAGGTGCAAATGCAGCTTGTAAAATAGACAAGACACTTGCTGCCACTGACCCCCTATCTGAAATAGTTTGGTCTCCAGATAAAGGTTTCAATCTTAAATGTGTGGATTCAAGTTTTACTGATAAAAAGGCTTCCCTTTTTGGGAATGTTGAACCAAGCAGTATGGTTCTTGCTCTGCTCCAAAGCGTTACTGATGGAAGTTCTGAAATGGATAAACCATTAAAAGACGTTTTTGAAGAACCTATTGCTGTCATATGCTCAAAGAACGATCTTTCCTCCACAGATACTTCCTCTAGGAACACACAAAGTGATTCAGTTGTCATCATTTCAGACCATAAAACATGTGAAGATGATAATGGTACAGGTAAAAGTAACATCTACTGTGCTTGCTGTAGATGTAGGAAAAGGTGGATTTACAATACATCTTTGAGTTCAAGTACGCGTTAATGGAGGGGAAAAAATCTTGTTATTTAAATGGTTAATTATTTGGGACTTCTCAATTTGTTTGGTTTCTTTATTGTCACTTTTTTCCTGTAAACTACTTTTACTCAATTCCCCAGAACAATGGTCTGGCAGGATTTGGTGATAGTACAGAGAAAATGAACATTGCGAGAGAAACACCTCCTTTGCCAAACGGTCAGAAAGAGAATGTAATGAAAGATTGGGAGAAGAATAGTTGTGCACAAGCCAACAATGGAACAACTATAATATCTAAGATAAAGGGAAAGAAATCTACTATTTCAGGTATGTGCTGTGATCGTCATTTATATGGTACTGATAGGAGAAGAATTTAGCCATTTTAGGAAACCTTTGTTACTCTTGCTCAGCGCATGTTCTGCACTCTTGTTGTTGGTAAACAATTTATATCAATTTTCCTGGAAAATAATTCGCATCATTCTAGTAGTTTTTTTCTTTTTCTTGACATAGGTTCTAAATTTAACGCATTTCTTTTATGTTTAAAGGGCACAGGCTGAAGCTTTTTGTTAAAGAAAAATGCATGTTCATTCTTTTGTGCATCCCTGAAATATCACCTGCATAATGATTTTCCTACTGGTCAGGTTGACGAAATGCCAATCAGGAATTTATTACTTCAAGCGGATGAACCTAAATATAGCTTGAAAGAAAATCCTTCAAGGAGACATTGTAATGGACGCATAGAAACTGGTGTTGTCAATCAGGTGGTTGAAAAAGAAGATGGATTATATATACTAGGGTTGAGCATGTAATCGTATATAATGGTTCCGCTGCTCTTGGGACAAATTTAACACCGTCTGGCATCAACCCTTCACCAAAACTAGAATCAACTGCAAAGAATGATTCACAAACTTTCGACTGTGAGGCAACTTGTGCGGGCACAAGCACAGTTCTTGCTTCAAAATCCAATGAGAATAAAATAAAATCCCAGGTCAATGAAATGTTGTTACTATGCAATCAGAACTCTCCAATCATGCCTTCTCCTTGTAATAACAGGATTCGCATGATAAGAAATCAAGGTAAGAAAAAGTCCTTATCAGATGAAGATTCAAATGTCAATTTACCAAATGAGGATGACGTCCATACAAGTGTTGAAAGTTGCCATAGTTCTGGATTACTTTTGGTAGGTAAGAAGAGAAGCAACTTTCCACAAGGGATAATTGGGAATAAAAAATTAAAAAAGCCTATTCAAGAAACTTCATGTTCTAATGTTCAAACGGATAGCTCATTCATGAACTTGATTTCAAACATGATGAAACGATGCGCACAATCGACTCAAGATGAGGACAAGTCTTTGGCTCTTAACCCTGAAAATCCTAATCACCATCTTCAACAGCCTGATCAGAAACTTTTCACATGCAATAGGAATCAAGATCCGAAGTTAAGACATGCAGGGTTCAGTTCCAATTTTCAGTCAATGCTTGGTGCAAGATTTAAAAATGTTCGAACAAGAATATCTCAAGTAGGAGAGGCTTCTAAAGAATTTGCACCAGGAAATAAGGTACATGGAATAGATGCTGCTCCAGTTACTTTCTATGCGGAGAACAATAGCCTTTACAGACAGTATTTGACATCAAATAAACTTGAAGTATCTGAAGGGAGACTTGATGCCTTTCCGTCCATACCGCCTCAGACTAGTCCTGTTAATTCTCTCAACTGTCATGAACACTGGTAAGATAACTCATTGGAGAATGAAAATTGTTACAAGCTGGGGCCAACTAAGGAGAAGGAAGGAATACCATCACATTTACCCTCGACTGGACAAAACAGATATAACAATGAGAATGTTGAGTGGTATGCACTGTATGAGAGAAGGGAAATCTGTCATAAGATTAAAACTGTGGAAGGACTTTGGATAAATCGGTTTTTACCAAAGTCAACTTCCCCCTTGACAGTTTTTGATCACCTTAACAAGAGAGGTGATTCTGAAAACCATTCCACGCCTTGTTCAATGCTTCCTCAATCCCATAAACCCATTTCTCTGAACAACTGCAAGATTGAAGAGGCCAGAGAACAATCTGCTGATGACCAACTGCTCATGGATCAAAATTTACATAATTGTTGTAACAATAAAGAGAATTCCACTGTCCAAAAGGATGATAATGGAAGTCAATATCACTCAGCAACGCATAAGTTCAAGTCCTTTACACCTTTACACCTTTATATCCATGTTTGCAAGAAGATTAGGTGCCATCAAACAATGGCAACATATAGAGTAGCCTACCACAAATAAAAATGTCTTGCTTGCCTTATGGGACAAGAGACTCACCAACTTGTATTTACCAAAAGATTACAGGAAATAATTCATGAACTCATAAAAATAGAAATACACATAAGAGAGTTGGAAGTATCGCATTGTCAACGTATTGGTGTTGTTATACTGTATTTTCCTCTTTATTCTTTTCCTTGGTGACAAGTGCGATGAATGAATGCTTTTTTCATGATGTTTGTGTTGACAAACAAGTATCTAAATAAAACACTCTGTATATTATCATTTGATGTGTTTGCAATAAGTGATGCATGGTCAATTTATAGGCCCTTTGGATATGGCCTCTCAACTACATGCATTTAATACAACTACTACCTTTCAACTACATACATTCAATACAACAACTACCTCTCAACTACTACCTCTATAACTACTACCTCTCAACTACATGCATTTAATGTTTACCTAACAAAATTCCCCCATAAACTTAAATGTTTTTCTTGTCCTTCATTCCAAGCATCTTCTTGTTGTTCTCGAACAGAGTGGTTGACAGTGGCTTCGTGAACATATCTGCAGCTTGTGTTCGGGTTCCGACGTGCTCTAACTCCACATTTCCTTCTTTCACTTGTTCTCGGATGAAGTGAAACCGAACATCAATATGTTTGTTTCTCTCATGATTGACCGGATTCTTTGCCAATTCAATGGCCGACTTGTTATCAACTCGAATCACAGTCCCTCTTTCTTGCTTCAACTCCAGCTTGCTTAGAAGGTTTCTAAGCCAAACTGCATGACAGACACTCCAGGATGCTGCAATGTACTCGGCTTCACAAGTTGACAACGTTACAATGGGCTGCTTTTTTGAAATCCAGGTGAATGTTGTGTTTCCCATGAAGAATACATATCCAGACGTGCTTTTCCAGTCATCAACATTTCCACACCAGTCACTATCCGAGTAGCCTACTAGTCGATAATCATCCGTCCTAGTATACATTAGGCCAAGTGACACTGTTCCTCTCACATACCTTAGAATTCTCTTTAGTGCCTTCCAATGAGTATACCTTGGCTCCTCCATATATCGACTTGCTATTCCAACACTTAGCATTAAATCTGGTCTGGTATTTGTAAGATACCTAAGACTTCCAATCAGACTTCGGTATTTGCTCGCATCAACTCGGTCTCCATCTGCATACTTAGAAAGTTTTGTACCAGGTTCCATAGGGGTGGAAACCGGGTTGCAACTTGTCATCTTAAACTTCTTCAAGATCTCCTCAGCATACCTTTCCTGCGACACAAAGATGTCATCCTTTCCCTGAACAACTTCTAAGCCAAGAAAATACTTCATAAGACCCAAGTCAGTCATCTCAAACTCCTTCTTCATCACTTCTTTAAACTCTTCAATTAGCTCGGCATTATTCCCCATGAAGATAAGATCATCAACATATAGGGCAACAAACATCACATCTTCTCCTTTCTTCTTTATGTATAGAGCATGTTCATAAGGACACTGCTCATATCCATTCCTTTTGAAGTAAGTGTCAATTCTTTCATTCCATGCTCGTGGAGCTTGTTTCAAGCCATAAAGTGCCTTCTTCAATCTCAGCACTTTCTTCTCTTCTCCTCTTCGCATGTATCCGAGTGGCTGTTCAACATATACTTCCTCCTCCAAGATTCCATTCAGAAATGCCGACTTCACGTCCATCTGCAAGATTGTCCATCTGTGTTGAGCTGCTAAGGAAATCAGCAACCTAATTGTTTCCATTCTCGTCACTGGGGCGAATACTTCGTCATAGTCTATTCCTTCTTTCTGCTTGTACCCCTTCACTACGAGTCGAGCTTTATATCGCTCAACTTCTCCTTCAGCATTTGTCTTCTTCTTGTACACCCACTTTACGCCGATAGGTCGTGCTCCTTTGGGCAAATCAGTTAGCTCCCATGTGTTGTTGCGTTCTATTGCTCCGATCTCCTCGTCCATTGCCTTTCTCCACCTTTTCTCCTGCACGGCCTCTTCAAAACTTAAGTCTTCTGAATCTGCCAAGAGACATACAACATGCACTTCGTCAGTGGAGTTGTATATATCTTGTAAACTTCGCGCTCTGGGCTGTAGAGGTTCATCTTCTTCATCAGAAGTCTCATGATCTCTCACAGTATGTGGTGTATCAACTTCCGAGCTTCTACTTCCTATGGACTCCTTCTCTGGGTTGTTCCAACTCCACTCGCTTTCTTCATCAATTTGAACATCTCGGCTCATGATGACCTTCTTAGTTATTGGGTTAAACAACCTGTACGCCTTGGTTTTTTCATCATACCCAATAAACACGTACTTTTTGCTTCTATCTTCGAGCTTGGTCCTCTGTTGAGCTGGAACATGACCATAAGCTATGCTACCGAACACTTTAAGGTGAGACACACTCGGTTTTCTTCCACTCCAAACTTCTTGCGGTGTCTTCTCGTTCAGCTTAGCATGTGGACATCTATTTTGCACATAGATGGCACATTGCACTGCTTCTGCCCAGAACTCCTTTGGCACGTTTTTGCTTCTCAACATTGTTCGAACCATGTCAAGAATGGTTCGATTCTTCCTCTCGGCAACTCCGTTTTGTTGGGGTGAGTATGGTGCTGTCAGAAATCTCCTTATCCCTTGCTCCTCGCAATACTTCATGAGTTCGGATGAAATGAACTCGCCTCCTCGATCAGACCTAACAGATTTGATAGGCATGTCAGTCTCTTTCTCAACCATTGCTTTAAATCTCTTGAACACCTCAAACACCTCGGATTTCTCCTTCAAAAAATATACCCAGGTTTTTCTTGAAAAATCATCTATAAAAGAAATGAAATACCTTTTCCCACTGAAGGACTCAGGGGTAATCGGTCCACAAATATCTGTGTGAATCAATCCGAGTTGTTCCTTTGTACGGTACTCGGTCGTCCTCGGAAATGAGGTCCTCGGATGCTTCCCGAGCACACACTCTTCACATAATTTCTTTTCAAATTTCATAGACGGGAGTCCTCGCACCATCTCTTTCTTTACCAACTCGGTCAGTCCGCCAAAATGCAAGTGGCCAAATCGAAAGTGCCACATCATTGCTTCATCCTTCACATCAAGTTTCAAACACCTCTCTTGGACTATCTTCAAGTCTAACTTGTACATTCTGTTCTTCTTCATTTCTACTTGGGCAATCAAACGATCCGACTTGTCCTTCAGGTATAGTACTCGGTCTTTCATCAGAACCGAGTAGCCTTTCTCCATCAGCTGACCCATACTCAATATGTTGCTTTTGAGATCGGGTACATAGTACACGTCTCTGATTTCTCCAACTCGGCTATTCTTCTGCAGGTACCAGATTGTACCTCTGCCTTTTACTGCCACCTTTGATGCATCTCCAAATGACGCATGTCCGACCTCAACTTTAGTGAGCTCCTTAAAAAAGTTTTCGTCCCCACACATGTGGTTACTTGCTCCTGTATCAAGATACCAAACCGAGTTGTCAGAACAGCTCGGACTTAGCTCAACATCCGAACTTCTTGACATCATCAATACTCCTTCTTCCTCAGTGTCCTCAGAGAGGAGGTTTGTCTCCTTCTTCCTCTCAAATCGGCAGTCCTTCGCGAGCCTTCCCAATATTATAACATTTGATACCTGAATAACAGTCCTTAGCAAAATGACCGTACTTCCCACATTTGAAGCACTCAACTCCGGAATTGCTTGACTGACCACCTCGGCTTCTACCGTCACGACCTCTACCTTGTCTTCAGCCACGCCAGTTTTGTTGACTGACTGGCTCCTTGCCTCTTTCATATTCTCCTCTGTCTCTACCACCTCGGCCTTGAGTGTTCTGAGCATAAGGAACCTTCTTCTCCTTTAAGGTTGCCTTTGCTTGGAGTGCTTGATCAAGGGACTCCTCTTTCTTCTTCCTTCTCCGCTGCTCATGCGCTTCAAGCGACCCGACAAGTTCTTCCACCGAGAGCACCGACAAGTCCTTGGACTCTTCTATTGCACAAACGATATTATCAAAATCGTCAGTTAACGACCTTAAGATTTTCTCCACCACTCGGCAAGTGGGCAGCGTCTCTCCATTTCTTCCGAGTTGATTCACCACGGTCTCAACATGGGAGATGTACTCGGCAACCCCTTCGACCTCTTTCATCCTCATGCTTTCAAGCTCGCCTCTAAGAGTTTGAAGTCTGACTTGCTTCACGCGATTATCCCCTTTATATGCCTTCTCCAGAATATCCCACGCTTCTTTTGAAGATTTAGCATTTGCTATCTTCTCAAAGCCGGACTCATCAACAGCTCGGTACAGTACGTACAAAGTCGTTTTGTCCTTTACTCGTGTTGCTCTCAATGCAGCAAGCTGAGCAATCGTCTGCTCTTCAATATTCTCTGGTTCTTGGTGCCCATTTTCGACCACATCCCATACTTCTTGGGAACCAAGGAGAACCTTCATTTGCAGGCTCCAGTTATCATAGCTTACGCCTTTTGATAACTTTGGTAGGGGCATGTTGTTAGCTAAGTTGGTCATCTCAAACAAACTCTCTAACTCTCAAACACTCTCTCTAACGCACTCAGACACCCAGACTCTCAAGCTCTGATGCCAATTTGTTGACAAATAAGTATCTAAATAAAACACTCTGTATATTATCACTTGATGTGTTTGCAATGAGTGATGCATGGTCAATTTATAGGCCCTTTGGATATGACCTCTCAACTACATGCATTTAATACAACTACTATCTTTCAACTACATACATTCAATACAACAACTACCTCTCAACTACATGCATTTAATGTTTACCTAACAGTTTGAACTTAAGTTTCATAATGCTACATTAATTAACTCAATAATAGAACGCCTATACTTCAGAGGAGTAGGGTATGAAACATTTGGTTATTCAAAATCCATAATTAGCAGCTCTAAGCGAGATTTGATTTGATTTTATATTATTGTTCTTGTAAAAAATTTGATTTTATATTATTGTACTTATAACAAATTGAAAGTGTTTTGTTGAATACATATTTAAAAGAT